GAAGACGAATATTTAAAAAATAATAATCATGAAATAGGGATCCAAGTTCAAACAAGGGCACCACACTACAATTATAATTATACTGTTCCATTGCCTACAAAACAATTGTACACAAATAAAACAAAATACATTTACCATACCTAATATAATCATATTGATTAATTTATATATTTACATCATCAATACTGCAGTCTAGAATTCTTTCTACTACAGAAGAAGCATATGGTTTCCAAGCATCATCTGGATCTCCTTTGTTTCTATAAGCAAGTCTTGCATCCAATGTTATCTTAGTCCTAGGAGCTGTGAAAAATTAAAGTTAACATAAATAATCAAAACATATTTCATATGTAAGAATATATCCAATAAATCACCAATTTCTATCTGATTGTGATAAACAATATCCACTTGTAGAACACCTATCAAATTCTGTTGCCATCGTGAGTAATCAAGTTGCATACTATTTCGAGGCACAGGCATCTATAAAACAAATAATTTAAAAAACTTTTAAATTAATTTAATTCAAATTGATAAGTACCTATTTTATCTCTTAATATGAAGTGTTTTTAAATAACCTACCTGAAATGTATAGACAACTTGATATGCCTGATGATGACTATCAAAATTAAAACGATTCATATCAACAGGAGTGCAAGATCCTTTTCCTCTTGAATAAAACCATTTTCTTCCTCCAGGTTCAGATCCATTTACTCGAATATCCTTGCAAGGAGTACCAAGTATATTTTGACTACTAGCTGGAGTTGGAGCTAAAAAAAGATGCATTGGTACTATTAACAGTTATATCTAATAATAAATTGTACTAATTACAATAATTAATAAATGAAACTATCACTTTAATTCAATACAATTTTTATTACAAACAGTAAATAAACTTCTAAAATTTGAAACTTTAACATTAAAAGAATAAATATAACAGTTATTATTTATTTACATAAGTTTTTATATTCTTAATACATTTAAAACAAAAATTATAATGCTTAACTGTATTCAATATTCAAACAAATTCGAAGCGTTTGACATTTCTTAACTTACCAATGAGCCCGCCTATTAGAAAACAAACTATTTGTGCGATAATCAGTAATATAACAAGTACCGAAAGCTTCCTGCCGCTCAAATTATCAATAATTGTTCCTTGCATTTTTTTAATATAATTATTTACTATAGTTGTCTATAATATTAACTATTCAAAATATGATGCCAGTGAAAGGGACGCACAAGCAGACTCGTTTGTCCGAAGAGTATGTGAAGAGCAGTTTAACGTGCTTTACGAGTAGCTTCGCTTTTCAAAATGGAAGCTGTGGCATACCAATATTTACAGAAACTATTGTGAAAATCTCTAAAAAGATTCTGCGAACCAATCGTCTTATATTCAATGTTGCCAACGATCATTTAAAAGATTTGCAAAATTTGGGAACATTGCCTCAACTTTGTGGTGTTGCTAATAAAATTTTGAATAGACTAGAGACTATTGAACACTATCGAAAGCAAGAATACATCGATTTTTTTTATTAAAAGATCGATAACAAAACTCATTGATCGATCGAATAATGTTCAACGCAAACGATTCGACTAATCGAAAAAAAAAAACAAATATCGATTCATAAATTAAGTCAGAGATGTATTAAGCCGCGTCTACACCGACTACGCAGGTGGCTCGCAAACGTCCGTGGGCAATTTGTTAGCATTTCTGACGAAAATTTTGTCACACTTCCTTATCAGACAAATATTTGCGAATGAGAGCACATTCGTGAACATTTGTCGTTGATTCGTGAAGAGTGCCAGTTCTTGAAGTGTTATTTAATAGGAGGAACTAAGGGGAAAGGTGACAGCCAGCCATTCCTCCTTACTGAACGTAAAACAGACATATATCCTTCGAAGCACTGACACTGCTCGGAATGTTCACAAATGCGCGCAAACGTTTGCAAGCATTTGCGTTCATGCGCGCTGAACGTCTATACCGGCCGCGCTAAGGGGCTCTCAAACATTCGCTAACGTTGGGAACGTTCTCAAATATTTGCTCTTACATACTGCATTTCTAATCACTATTAAAAAATGCAGATGGATCCGCGTGATTTTGCGCGAAAAGAACGGCGAGTATGCGGTAGTATCGAAGTAAGTAAATGCTTCGTCAACTAAGTGCAAAAATCCAGCCAAAAATAAATAACGATAATCGGCGTGGACGAAGTCGTTTCTAACCTTTTTGACAGAAGCGTATACTACTGTTTAATGCCTGGATTGTCACAATGTATTTATCAAATTACATTGTACGTGAATAACGTCTCACAACTTTTTTCAAATAGTAATCGTTAAAATTAATGCATATATAGAATGCTACGTATAATATTTACAACTAATATTCTACTATAATTTAAAAAAAACTAGTTAAATGAAATAATAATTGCGTATTTTTTTTTATGATTACATGACCAGGAAAAATCAGCAGATTTAGATTTTGTTTATGATGATGCAGATAAGCATGCCAATGAAATTGCTGAATTATACAGTTATTCAGAACAATCTGAATTACATGTTACCCTTACAGTAAGTATAGGCATTTGTGCAATACGTAACAAGAAACTAATAAAATATGGATGTGTTTTACATGATTTGAAATATGAAATTATTCCTAGGCTTTTGAAGAGCAAATGGAATTGTATAATTTAAGACCATGGTGGCAAAATTTATCAGAGATTCAACAAAAATCTGTGATTTATAAATTATTAGATCAGTTAGAAGTTTCCAATAAACAACTGAGAATGAAAGCAGCAAGGTGTATCTTGTATTTAGCTCAAGGTTGCTGGGGTGAAGTACAATCTGATCAAGAGCAACGAAGCTGGACCAGAACAAATGTAATGTTATTGTATGAAGCTGAAGTTTTTCCAGCATTTGTTGAACTTCTGAATATTGAAATTACGTATGTTCATGCTTCCTTATTTAAAAAAAGAAAGAAACTTGTTAATTATCTTTCACAATTCATGCCTTTGTGTTTTCAGAAATAGTAAAAGAGCTGCTTCTGCAAAGAGAAAAATATCTGTTAGTCTTGATGATTCTACAGATTTAAGAATAATTCTATCTGTTTTATATATTATGACAGAAGTAATGAGAGAAGAAATGAAAGATTTAGAACACAGTATTTATAAGGATCATGTTGAATCTTTCAAAGAAGAACTGATACATCCATATGGTGAAGAATTGCTTATAGTTAAACTTCTTGGTATGGTAACATACTTTTGCAGTGGAGCAGCTCCACATTTTCCAATGAAGAAAGTACTTTTACTTTTGTGGAAGTTAATCCTAGTATCTTTGGGTGGTATTCATAAATTAAGAGAATTGAAGAAACAATACCGTGAAGAAGCTGGTCTTGATACAGAACAAGAAGATACATTAGAAGTTGCTAGGACTATGAGAGCTAGCTCTCCTCCTGTCAGTGCAGCAGATTTAATTGAAACACAAAATCAGAAAAAAAATCATAGATCTTATCGACGGGTATGCTGCATATTTTAATGGAACTTTGTTTAAAATTTAGAATCATTATTTGATAACCTATACTTTTAGTTTTTGATGAAACAAAGTTCATTAGATGAACCAGGCTTGGGAATGGAAAATGAAGGTGGAGAAATAGGAAATAAGACCACAAATAATGGTGATGAAAGTGAACCAGAACCTAATGAGGATCAGTTTGTTTGGAATAATAAACTTAAAACTTGTAAAATGCAAAATAATAAAAGACCTGACACTCCACAGCTTGCTAAAGGTAAATACAATATTTTGAATTCTGAAACATGATATAAAACTATGACATACCAATTATTCAGAATAATATATTTATCATAGGTTTACCATGGACACCAAAGGTGAGACAAAAGGATGTGGATACTTTCCTTGAGGTGTCAAGATTAAAATTTTTTGGTTACAACTTAGAGGGAGACAGAGAAAGTTCTGCAGGTTTGCCACAACCAATACTTGAAAGTCTTAATACACTTAAAAGAGTAAGTTAAACCGTTATATGCTTTACACTTCAAAATTAAAAAAAAAAAGAAGAAAAAAAACGTATATCTTCATATTTTTAGCATATGTATACATCTTTAGCTGAAGTCCAAATTCAAAAAGAGGAACAAATGCTTAAACGTCCTATAAGTACTCCAAGGTTTCCAATTCGTCAAACACCGACCGAAATTGTGTATCATGCTATACTACCGCTTGTTCCGCAATATATGATTGCATTACTGAAGATTTTACTAGCAGCAGCACCTACTAGTAAAGCTAAAACGGATAGTACCAATATTATGGCTGATGTTCTACCAGGGCAAATGCCGTAAGTTTATAAATTTAAACGAAATGTGCTTTGAAATTTTTGTATTATATATTTGATAATGTATAGAATATTTTTATTTTTTGCCCTTACAGCATGACAGTTTTTCAATCGATGAAACTCGGTATTGATGTAAACAGACATAAAGAAATAATTGTTAAAGCAGTATCTGCTATATTACTTCTTTTGTTAAAACATTTCAAACTGAATCATATATATCAATTCGAATTCATGTCACAGCATTTAGTATTTGCTAACTGTGTGCCACTTGTTTTAAAATTCCTAAATCAAAATATTTTAGCTTATATTGAAGCTAAAAATGTGTAAGTTTTACCTATAAAACAGCTTAAACATTAATAGGAATGTAATTTTAATGAGACATATTAAATAGGTTATATATTTTATTTACAGTATTCCTATTATGGATTTTCCTATGTCTGTTATTGGGGAACAAACAGATGCATGTTTAGATAACCTTGAAATCGGAGACAACTTACCATACTCATGGAGAAATGTTTTTTCTTGCATTAATTTATTACGTATTCTTAATAAACTGACAAAATGGAAACATAGTAGAATTATGGTATGTTCTATGTTGTATAATTAAACATGTTCGTTTATTAACTTCGAAATTATGATTATCTATTTTTGTAGATGTTAGTCGTTTTTAAATCGGCACCTATATTGAAACGTACATTAAAAGTCAGACATGCAATGATGCAATTGTATGTCTTAAAATTATTAAAAATGCAAACCAGGTACTTAGGACGACCGTGGCGAAAAACTAATATGAAAACTATCAGTGCAATTTATGCAAAGGTTCGACATCGTTTGAACGATGATTGGGTTTACGGAAATGGTAAAATATCTTACAAGATTATTTATGTAATCTAAAGATTATATTTATTATAAACAACGTACAAATTATTTGTTTTCATTAGATTTAGAAGCACGACCTTGGGATTTTCAAGAAGATGAGTGTGAGTTGCGTAGCTGTGTTGACCGATTCAATAACTTACGATATACTAATGCTTCTAAAGGCAAGGATATGGAACCTGTTGACACATCTGTTATATCAGTACTCGGCACAAACGTGGAATTAAGCGAAGAATTTAAACAACATTATGAATTATGGTTACAGCACGAAGTATTTCAAAGAAGTACTAATTGGGACGAGTTATTAGACTATGGAGCGTGTGAGATTTAATAAGTGCAATATATATATATACATATATTGAAATCGTATTTTCGTCAACCCATAGACCTGGATCAAATTTTGACGTTTTTATAAATTACATACTATTGTGAAGTGTTCAAAAAAAAAAAAAAAAAAACATTGCCATATCGATGAATCGGAAACTGAATTCGCATTTGGTTTGTATACACTGAACAGTGAATGGTCCTAATCTAAGGAATGATTATCGAAAAGAATAGTGACTTTTCAAGGATAGTTTACAAGATAACGTGTAATTTTTTTACATTTTTTTGTGTGTATTTAATTTGTGCAATGTGTATTGCTTGTAGCAATATTTTACTATTACCATTATAGTTCTAAGTGAATATATAATCGCATCCGGCATCATTAAAAAGAACTAGGATAAATTTATTTAAATATATCGTTCAGACCGTTCGAGTTCATATTATCTAAGTTTCTGTAAATTAATTTTTAATAATGTAACAAACAAGCTGCGAATCATGTACCAACTTAAACTTCCCGTATTTTATATAATTTTTATATGTACTCCATTTCATTGTGACAATGGTAATATTTATCGTGATACAACCTACAGTGGTATTTACGAATATATAAATAGTAACATGTATAATGTATTAATTTAATTTAAACTGCATTTTTTAAGAAAAATTTGCTAATTTTGTAAATTAAATGTTTTGTTCATTATTAAATGTGGCAGTATATGCGTATTTGACCTGTGTGTTTACGTGCAGTGAGTATCTTTATACGAGACAAAGGGTTAGAGAGAAAGAAAGAGGGCGCTGCATAGCAGAATCAGTTGTACATAACTTCATCTTACAAAAATCTATGAAGCACTTGTATGGTGCTTTCCTATCATAGAAAATTTTATTTGATAGTTAAATATCTAAAATGTAGATTATGTGAATTATAGACTGAATAATTCAACTTTCTCTTATTTATTTATTGTAATGTATATTTAAACAATTTCAGCGCAAAGTGCCGCATCACTTCGTTTACTGTACAGGATATTTGATGTGATTGGCGTCATGTTTAAATCGTTAAGAGTAAATAAAATTATGATCTACATATAAGTTGTAATTTTTAAATTGTTGGCAAAATTTTTAAACAGTTATCTATAAATTACATTCATTGTATAAAAATATATGTAACATTTTATAATATCTACTATAAGTTATACTATTTGAGACGATATTAATTTACGAATGAAACAATCACATTTTATTCATAGGCACTTTAATATGCATATTGAAATATGCATATTTATTCCATGATCAGTGTTTTTTGAGCATGTATTACATTATCTGCATACACTTTATCAGCAAAATGTCTTTTACAGATAAAAACTGTCATAAAGAACGAATGAGTTCGACTTTTCAATAAATTAAGTATATAAATTAGTTATACATGTGTATAAAATTTCATAGGATATCGTGCACATATTGTAAAATAGTATGGAATGCTATGATCACAGATTGATTATTTGTTGCACAGATTTTCGTGATTCGTATACCATGTACGGACCGTTCCACATTACAGAGATTCAAGCGTTATGGTTTTACCCATTTGTACGAACCATAATAAGCGAAATTATTTAACTTCGCCATTTCATCGGCTTCTTTAGGACCTCGGGAACCATATCTAAATTTCAAAGAAACGTATTACTATTCAAACACACAAACATACTTTCACTTACCACGGGGACAATAACTTACATGTACGAAATCGGTTTAATATTTTCAGTTTCGATTTGATGAAGCAGCGGTGTAAAAATCCTCCATGCTTCCGATAATTCATCGTTACGTACGAAATGCATTTGCGAGCCACAAAATACGTCCAAAATTAATCGTTCGTATGCGTCAGGAAGTTTCAAATTCTATACAGCACAGTCGAACGTATCAATCAAAGGTGGTCATAGTAAAGACATCTACGCATTTTCTCAGAACACAAACAATCTTTCCTTCAACTCACCTTGTATCTATGACCATACGTAAGATCTAATTCCGTTTCCTCCATATCGAACGTAATACCGGGCGATTTCGTCATCATTTTAATATACAATGCTTCGCCGGGCTGTACTCTAATTACCAATTCATTCCTCTTCGCTTTTCCATCGAATATATCGCCGGGCACGTCCTGATATTGTATTCTCACTTCCGCCTTTCGTTCATTCAACGCTAATCATGAACATTTTAACATTAACCGAAACGACCCCATACATTAAGGATTTCTTTATAACATATATTAGAATACTTTCTATACCAAAGTAAGCGTTTAAGTCGCTTTACCTTTCCCACACCTAAGAATGAACGGAACACCGTCCCATCGCTCATTATTAATTCTCAACACGGCTGTGGCATATGTAGGAGTATTCGAACCGGCTGGTACAGTAGGATCGTCTAAATATCCCAGTCGTGCTTCAGGATCTTTCGCGTGAGGATCACCAGCGTATTGACCTAACACAACGTCCTTCAATTCCAATGGCTTCATACATTTCAATACTTTGACTTTTTCATCTCGTATATCATCTGGATGGCACGACGCGGGCTTTTCCATCGCAACTAACGACAATATTTGCAACAAGTGATTCTGCATCACGTCCCTAATGATGCCAAATTCGTCGAAGTAGCCGCCTCTTCCTTGCGTACCGAATGGTTCCTTGAAAGTGATTTGTACAGAGGCCACGTTCTCCCTGTTCCAGGTCGGGCTGAATATCCGATTACCGAACCGGAGAGTCATTAAATTTTGAACCATCTCCTTTCCAAGATAATGATCGATACGATAAATCTGATCCTCTCTGAATAACGATGCCAAATGATCAGATAGTTGCTGAGACGTGATCGCGTCCCGACCAAATGGTTTCTCTATGATTACCCTAGTCCATCCTCTGCAATGATGTTAATCTTAGCGTGAATTTGAACGTTACTTCAAAGTAATTGAAGAAAGTCGTACTCACTTTTCAGCCATACAAACGTTTCTAATGTGCACAGTAACGCTTTCGAAGACGCTTGGAGGCAAAGCCAGATAGAACAACCGGTGAGCAATTTGGTAACCTTGCTCGTGTTTTTTTAACACGTTGTCCAACGATTCGAACCCTGTTTGCGAGTCGTACATACCGGACACATAGTGATTCAATTTCCAGAAATCCTCGTATTTTTTCTCCTCGTCTGATTTCACCTTCATATAGGGATGACATTTTTGCCGTAACTGATCTACGCTCATGATTGTGCGCGCGTAACCGAAGAAACTTGTGGTCTTCGGTAGAAGATTGTCTCTGAACAGCCACCATAACGTTGGATAGATCTTCTTTTTCGCCAAGTCACCCTGTATATAGAGATTCGTCGTTAAATTGATCAATTAACTGTTTCTTTTTAATTATCAATTACCTCATGTTCAGACGATTGTTATTCAGACGAAGAAAAATGGCCGATACTTACCGAAGCTCCGATCGTGACGAACACGTGAGGAAACGAACCATCGAAATGGGTCCCCTCGAGATGGTCCATCTCGTCCGACTTCAGCGATTGCCTGATGAATCGCAGGCTTTCCTCTGTCGACGTTTCTGCGAAATGTCATCTTATGATTTATCCGTGTTACGAAAAGAACCGTTTCAACAAGGACAAGTTCGAATGCGAGAGGAATTGTTTTCAATTTTCCCGCACTTGATTTCTGCACTTTTATTGGTTAAGTGCAATTAAACACGCGGCGTTCGGTATGTTTCTTTTTCACACTGGGTATATACTCGTTTCTTTTCACAGAATATTTCAGTTGATTTGAAAATAACACAATCATAATGATATATCAATTATAAATAGATATAGAAATAGATATATAGAAAGTATGCCAGATTGTAAATATTGCAACGCAAGGATCTAAGAAAGGAGGATGTTGAAAGACGCTGGAAAATTAGAGACGCCAAGGTTGCTTCAAAGTTATACACTGTTTTCAACAGTGTTCGAAATACTTTTGACAAGGTCAAAGAGCGTAAACGTAGCTAAGTTGGACATATAGATAAACAAGTAAAAAGAACCGGATTGCACTTTGAATGTGAACTGTTCGAAATTTTTACGCTATTCAATTATTATTCACAAGAAATTTTATTACGAAAATGTTACGTCAATGGAAGTTGATAGTTTCACTTTTTCACATGCACGTAGGATCGTGTTATTAATTCTCGTTTAATTTAAATATATAATTATACGATCTCGTAATCCGCATAAATATGAATTCATTGGAAATTTCTTATATGATTCCTAAACTGTTAAATGCTTGGAAAATTGCGAACACGCAATTAATTGGGCAATACTCGACAAGCAACAGAAAAAAGATAACGTTACGTTATGAATTTTGAAAGGTTAAAAATTTCCTTTAAAAAAAATATGATTCTTTCCTTCTCTATTATCATATCTGATTAGTTGATCGTTGTGTATCTCTTTTCTACATTGGAATCACGTTTGAACGGAAGAATAACGTCGCTGTCAGAAACCTGTATTGCATTAAAGTCATTAAACGCCTAAAACATGCTGAATATGTATATCTAGCAAATATATGTATAATCCAAAGCGGTTCTTATTCAAACGAAATTACACAATTCTTACGTAAGGCTGTAAAATCGACCACATCGTCGAATTTTTTATCTGATATATTACAAAGGCACCCAAAAATATGAAAAAACATTTAATAAAATATCACATTAACAAATGTCGTATCGACAACAGTGATACTGACAAAAAAGAAAGAAAAAAAGAAGGAAGATAATAATGTATAAATAAATTTGAAATTTAAATTCAAATACATAAAATATATATTACATACGATATTCACTGAAAATCACAGATTTCAATTAGAGTACAAACGATAATCACAACTGTGAACCACAATTAAGAACCGATGAACTTTTTTTATCCGGAAGGTAACTCGTTACTAATTGACAATAGCACCGATGACTCGATCAATTAAACTAAAAAACACTAATTCCTTCGTAACGACAAATTTTCTCATATTTTTTTGCTTTTTTTTTTTATTTTAATAATGCACATTTGTTGCCGAAACAATTTGATTCCCCCTTCGACCGCGCATCGGCGATCTAACAGGGTACGTTTTATTTTCGCGATATTCTTTAAAAATTTCACTGATAACATAATAATAGCTAACAAGAAATAATTACCACAAACACTTTAGTGCAACTTACTCAACATGATAATGAAGAATTCGTTAACGAAATCGATCGCATAAAACTGTTGCTTTTCCCCGAAAACGTGTCACGACCAGAAATGTAACCGGACACCTAAAACCCACCGATCAGTTCGACCGTTCGACTTTGACTGAACGCGACGATTACCGCAGTTGTTCTACAGCCTCAGGAAGATGCACGATTTCGAAATACAAATACACCTGAACGCAACTCGGGGATATTTGTATGTCGAATTCCGTGATAATCACAATTTATTTGGTAAGTTTTTTAACTTATTTTTTTACGCTTAACACAACCTTGCATCGTGGTGAATGTTTGTGTACCAGAAATTTTTTTCTTTTATTTCGGTTGCCTATGTTAACGTAACGGAAAAAATGAACGTAATTAACATACAGTCACTGTCGAGTGACGTTCCTAATACATACTATCTTCCTTTGCGTGGACAAATTTTCAGGTCTTTCATTCTTTATCTGTTTTTCCACGTCACACTACAAAAGACACAAATATATACTATCGCCACGCGATTGTGTCATTATAGTGTAGCTATAGTTTTCATTTTCGGTAAATTTCTAGTGTTTTCCCTTTATTTCGTAAATCTAAATTTATAGGCTAGAACATATTTATCTCAGCAAACATCATCTATCCTATGTAATTTTAATAAGTAATTCATTTTTTATGCTGTTTTTCTAAATATTTTTATGCTCCTGTAAAATACAATTACTTTTTTAATGAACGCGACATCTCGCGAGATTAATACCTACAGTTATTATAATTCCCATCTTTCTGACGTACACGAGGGCATGCTTCAAACTGAATTAACATCAATAAAAAAATACCAGTTATTTAGAACAGTCCTGAGAGTACCTAACACTACCGACTAAGCGCGGATAGCAGGAGCAGGGACGCACTGTGTCCATGGTCAAGGACGCGGACGCAATAGACAAGCGTCGTATGTCGAAGCGTTTTTTTCAAAAATTCTTCTTTTATGTTCAATAATACGCAGTAGATGAGAGCAATTTGGCACTTATGTCGTGTTAAACGTAATTCTAATACGTTTCAGCATATCTTTCATAGCAACTAATTTAATATTTACTTCTCGATTATTTCTTTAATTATTTCTCGTTTGATGCGTGTTGTTAAATTTCTATATTAAAAATTGGTTCGATATAAAAAATTTTTTTAAGTATCCTAAAAGATTTACATTTATAAATTCATTCTTTACATTGTATTAATACGTGTGTGTATACACTATGCATGCGTATGTGAACATACGTAAGATGGCTGGGTATGAATCTCGCGCGAGCCAATGACTTGGCATGAAGCAAGTGATTCACATACGCGAGTCGTCCGACGTAGATCCTTGAGCAAAATCGAAAGATTCTGATGGTATGATTTCTTATCAATCATATTGTATTCTGTAAATACGAGGATGTAATTCACTTATAATCGATAATGATCTATCGGATCAAAATTAAAGTTGTATTGTGAACCTTGATCTCTGATAATTCACTTTGGCAATTAATGCGATTTCTTTCTAATCAGAATCGAAAGGAAAGTATCGATTTGTGTACATTAAAACCCAGTACACATTAATGCATATGACGAGAATGGATATGCGTATAACCTCCAAATATAGTGAAATAATGATGAACGTAATGCGTAATGCTCAAATTAAAGAAACATCAAGAAAAGGGAAACGAAAGTGCACTTTAAATTTGAACTAAAGTATAATAACAATTTGTTAAACTCATTTTTTGTAAGTATTAAAAACTAGTACATAATATCGTGTATTATGTAAAATATAATAATAACATTGTATTCCTGTCATTTTCTTTTTTTTATTATTATACTATAGAATAGGAACAAATTTTTGTGATAGCGTGAATTATTGGTACGATGAAAAAATCATGATTTGCTGTTCTACAATAATCTTGCGATAATCTATAGATACGTGACAAAAAAGAAATTAAATGATAGTATTCGCTTTTATTTCGAAACTTTAAAAAAACGTAAAATCAAAGTACACATTCGATAATTTTCTTAAGTAAGAATGTTAATCTGTAAAAGTGTTCAAATCGTTACACAAATATAAATACGCGTAAACTGATAAGTTTTTTACGCACATTTATCAACAGTAACGCGTAACGCATCAATTCACGTGATTCGTAGCATGATGGTTCAGTACGATCGAGAGATATACACGGTTTAGTTGCTGTAATTCACTCAAGGTTTCAAGATGTTTGTACGCGATCGAATAAATTTTTCTAAAACATTTTTCGTTAAAATATAATAAATTTATGTATCTTTAATTGTACCTCATAATAAACGTATTAAACGATTTAAAACGCGGATGTACTTTCACGGTTAAAGTGTATTACTTAGAATACAAACTTCCAATACCAAACTGATATTATGGACCTACTTTCATTCCGATTTGCAATGACTTGCAAGAATAAATGTGTAACGCCGAGCTGAAGTGGAACCCATATAAAGTCAAATCACAAAAATTCATCGTAATAATTATAATTATATAATGACCGGATAATGTGAAAATCGAAGCAAACATATTCTATTCAATAAAATATCTAAGCGGTTTGCTTGGAAGTGTTTTGAGATAAAGTAGTAATTAGCACTATCTCGTTCTCGTTATTATCACAATCTCGCTATGAAAGTAGAAATCTCTCGTGGAATTCTATGATGTAAACACAATGTGTTAATCAAACTTTTATTTAAAATACTATGGGTATATTAAAAGTTTAAACAAACGTATAAATTTATATTTCCGATAGCATACAACCGACATAAATGTGCAAATACGCAGTAGAAATAAGAAAGGAAATTAGTTACAAATCTTTTAGCTATAAAATAAATTATATATAAAATTAAGTCCGCAATAAACGAATAAATGAAATACTTACTCCTTATTCTCTCCATTGTAGACACTTAAAAATATGAGGAATATTATAGATTGTTAACGTCGCAAATGCTCTGTTGAATATTACAAGAGGTATTCTTTGCACTGTCGAAGTGACTATGTAACTTCCCCCCTACAAAATTGAGGTTAAGTTTAAAAATGTAATGTGATGGTTTACGCGCGAACCGATCAACTGACATTTTAAAATCTTGGTCCAGAAGATCTTACTCCTTTGAGTTCTCCGCCTACCATTGTTTTGGTCCACCAATCTCATGCTACTTTGACTTTCATTTACTACTTAAGTTAAGTTTGTGCTCTTTTATGACGTATAATTACAAAATTTTAGACCATATCAATTTTTTAATCTCGAATTCGTTGCTAAATATTATTAAAATATTTTTACACAACTTTTGATGATATATTTGCTGGTATATTTAATATTTTAACAAGACAAAACTTTACACTCCAATGGAATAGTATAAATATTAATTTAAACCGAGTCTATATTACGTTAATATTCACATAAGACCGAAATTTAATAATATAAATTACTACTATCAGCAATCTTTGATTATTAAATCGATTTGATAATCTTTAATAGTTATAGCGCCATCTGTTACAAAACATTTCGTTTGGAGTACACATTATCAAAGGCACTTTGATAATTGAACGTAAGATTTGATTGAAAAATACTTTTTATATAATTTTTCAATTAGTTTCGAATAATATACAAAATTATATTAACGGTCATACGTACATTTTATAACAATTTTTATTTTCATTTTCTTAACCTCAAATTTACAATCGTTTAATACTCTTTCTTTTTTATAGAAAATGAGATTAAATCTAGTATATTTTAAATATAAACATCATGCGAAATCGCCTCAAAATCCAGAAAAAGTTCCATTTAAAGAAGTAACATCCTTATCCCTAAGAAATTATGTCGTTGGTGAAGGAAGCAAAACTTTGGGTAAATGTCATGTTATATTACTAATTTTTTTATAACAAATAACGCATTTACTTATTTTAGAGAACAAATGTTTATATGAAATGTCACTATTATTTCGGTGTTGGAAAGAAAATCACTTTAACGACAGTATCTGTGCTAATCACATGCAGAAATTAGACAACTGTTATAAGAACTACATGAAAACTGCAGCTGAATCCAAGAAACTCAAACAGATCGAAATTCCTTCTCCTTCTGCTAAAAGCTACACAAGTAAACAAATTAATTATATGTTACGTATGTATCCAAATGTATAGTCATTTCTGAAATAAATTTTTTAGAATATTGTACATGAAATATTTTTAATGTTGTACTTTCAATTTCACTTATATAAAATGCATGTTCATTTCATTGTTGTAAAGAATTAATATTATTAAATAAAGCATTACAATTTAATATAAAATTATATCACAAAGGAGCTTTTATAATAGTTTGTTTATTTGCCTGCGCCTGTATACGTTTAAGAGTTGATCGTGTAAGATAACCTATATATGAATATAAATAAAACAATTTCCATTAACTGTTTACAGTATAAATTAATTACAAAAAATTATACATACGAATTGGATAATTATCAGAAATGGATGTGCATTCTTGAATAGTATTTAATTGCTGTTCAATACGTTTTAATGCTTTATAATTTTCCACCTGTTCATCTTTGTACAAATAGTATGTACAAAACAACACAATAGCACAAAGAGTCAGAGCTACTTTTCTGTACATCCACGTTGTTCTCACTAAAGTTTCCTAAATTACAAAAAAGAATTGCTTTCACTTGATGCATAGCAAGGTGCATTTACTTACTATAACTTTATGAATTTAATGTTGCATTACCTTATTGTCACCGGAGTGATATGTAACATTATCATAATATTGAACTAACATTCGTTCTGCTACAATATTTATACTCAGAATTGTGAAAAGTATGATTCTAGCATCCATAGTTCTTCTAGAGGAACTAAACATCGCACATAAAATACAACTAATTGTGTAATACATAATAGATTGAAACCAGGAAACTTCTCCAATAATCCAATTTTGAAATGAACGTAAATACGAAAAGATTTGGATCAATAATTCTCTTTGATCTTTCGCCGACTCTCTACAATAGTTAATAATATTAAATTTTTACAGTAATTTATTAAAAATTATATAGCACATTTATGGAGATTTTATACACATACTTAAAATCTTTGACCATATTGTTAACACTTTCAGAAGAAGATTTTAACACAATACCCAACTCTTTTCCATTATCTAAAAGCTCATTTTGCATTTTTAAACTTTGTCTTTGACTTTCAAGCATAGCTCCTTGTACTTCTGTAGCTTCCAATAGTTGTTCTTTCATTTGTGAAGAAACTTGGTGTAATCTATAATAAAAAAATTTCATTCATTTCTTGAAAATATATTAATAATCTGTTAAAAAAGAAACTTGCTGCTTAATAGTATTGTCAGTTTCAGCTTGCCATGCTTCATAATTTAAATAAAAACACATATGTATAGTATGTATGTAAAATTCATTGTATGCATTGAATGCTCTATCTGACATTGTATTAATGCAATCTCTGCAAAACCAATACATATATTATTGTTAAGCTTAGAAAAGTAATTACACATATTGAAAAAAGAATTAAATTCACCGTCGTTTTTCTGAATTAATAAGATAACAATTATCAGTTATGTGCCCAGAGTCTTCCAAAAAACAATGTGTTAACTTCAGAGCAAGTAACATATGTTCTTCATCATTTAAATTATCACAACTGACTTTCATTGTTTTAACTGCATTCTGCCAACATGTCCCATGTTGAGATAAAGAAGATTTTGCTGTAAATAGGAATATAATTTATAAACAATCAAAATTTTAATATGATTAAATGTAGAACCTAATGATACATACCATTAATAATTTGATATTGTTTTTCTCCTAATTCTTTCAGTATTGCACTTCCATCAATTGCAAATAAAGAAGAAATAGGAAGAAGTAAAAAAGTAATCACTTTACATCTTTCTACTATTTTTAACATTATGCATGTGTTTCTTTTTGATAATCATTTTAATTACACATCTGAAGCAAAAACCCAATTATCCGTTGGCATAATTTCATAATATACATAAACAATTTAATTAATATCTACATAGTTAAAAAGTAAATGGCAGTTAAAGTGTATGTATACTTGTATACATCGATATAAGAATGACTTACTTCATGACATATAAAACTTCGTTCATTAACTATAAAAATATATACATATATTAAATTCAAATTAAATTTCATGTAGGAATTAAACGTATCGCAAGCAGGCTTTATTTGAAACGTCTGAAAGCGTCAAAACATAATGGCGTCTTTTCAAATTTATTTAGTAAAGTTTCGTAATTTAATTTAAAATATTGCAAAT